TGGCTTGGCCAGTGTCCCAGTGGAGCCCTTGAGGACCATGGCCAGCCATGCTGGGGGGTTGTTTATTAAAGTGGACTGGTGGCTCCTTGCCCAGGTACAGCTCTTGCCAGTGGAAGCCACTCCAGTGTTTCAAAGACAAGCTATGGTAATGAGCAAAGCTAAGCTACGTACAGAGACATTTTAAAAAGCTCTCCCCTAGGGCCGGACCGATGGCCCCATGGATAATGCTCTGCCTTGAACTGATTATCAACTGCATTATCTTAGTTTTCTCTCCTCATTCATTCACTTGCAGCCTTTATCTTTATTCTTTCTTTGCTTCTGAAAAAAAGAAAGAAATTCCACGTTTATACAATGGGTGTTTTATATTTCATATTAAAATAGAACCGTCTTTTTTTTTCTTCTTTTTTTTTCCTACATGCCAACTCTCGTTTCTCATAAAAAAAAAAATAGAGGAAAGTTTCACCTCATTTATTGCTATGTCAAGTCAAGACTCCTTTTCCTCAGCTCATTATTTCCACAGGAGCCGAGTCTTGACTATGTGCAAGTGTTGCAGAAGTGTACGCCTTGCTGAGGAACAGAAGGATCTTGCTGAAAGATAAGGACATTGTCTACACTGAACAAAATTAAATTTAATGTGATGTAGTTAAGGAAGAAAAACAAAAAGGAAGTTTTGCCTGAAATGTAGCCTCCAAGTTCACTTTGTTGGAGAGGAGATTTTGCAAACAACTTGAGGTTGAGGGAACTGTCTGAAGTAGTCTGAATTTGTATCCCCTGTTTATTTTCAGAATCTTAGAGGGGCATGCTGGCTTTTATTCCACAGATGCAGTCTGAAGGATGGGGTATCCCTTTTTATTGAAAAATGTACCTGCTAAAAGTTATGAAAGATGAACGGGAGTGATGGCTGCGAAAGGCAGACTGCAAAGATGCCAGCAGGCTTTACAGGGGCTGAGGACTCTCCTGGATCAACAGAGGAAAAATAAGTGCCCTGAATGAGCATCAATAGCTAAGCCATTGTAGAATCATCTAGCCTGGCTTTTAAACCAACTGCTTAATGTGTGTTGTTAAGAAATGTTGCTACTGTCACTTGATTTTTGTTTGGCACGATTTCTCAGTCACAGAGTAATCATTTGTTAAGAACACTTACATAACTACTTGGTGTGTTATGAACTGTTTTTAAGTTCAGCTCTTCTGTAAACAAGATGGCCAAGATGTAATTCATGTTTTGCAAGACCTAAATTTGGAAGGTGGCTCTGAGAGGTTTGGGGGCACTGATGGGGTAGTTTGGGAGAGGCTAAAGCACATCTGAGGCCAGTTTGGCACCCAGCAGCCCTCCAGGAGGGCAACCTCAGGTAGCCAGGGCTGAGGCAAGCAGGCAACCCTGAGCAACCCCTTCAAGGGCTGGCAATTTCTATTTCAAGAAATTTAAAGGCCAAGGCATGGAGTTAAGGGTACCTGTGGAAAGGGCTCAGAAGACATCAGAAAACTCTCTAGGGTACCCTGTCCCTCATGTGGATATGTGGGAGTCAGGAAGCTGGGGTTACATGGCTGGAAGACCAGCCAAAGTGATGTGAGAGTGCAATAGATCTGAGAAATGACCAGTGTACTGCTTTGCCCATTGCTATTCCTCTTCGTGAAACTGAGAAACAGACATAGCTCGTGCAGGTCACATGAGTGATGTTTCCCATCTCCCAGCTATTCTATGTCATCTCCAGCTGCATGAAGCAGTGAAAAACAAAGACCAGAAAACCCTCTCTGGGGCATATGATATCAAACTAAAATATATCTTCTTATTTATCACTGTTTTGACACTAAATAACTATTTGGCTTCCACATCTCTTATTTAAGAAGTGCTCCCATTCCATTTTTTTAAATTATTCATAACAAGTCATAGGTTTAGTAAAGCAAAAACAGCACTTTTTTTATCTGAGCACATAATTAAAGCACAAAGTCTGATACATTGGTTGATTTAAACATATTACTAAATCAGAGTGTTCGTTCTTTGTAAGTGCTGGAAAACCTTAACATGCTTAAAAAAAAGCAGTGATCTGACATTTGTCACTGAAATGTGACTATTACATGAAATTAAATTAGACATCCTGCATGCAAATTTTCAAAGAATAACTCTCCTCTGTGTAGTACAAAAAATCCCCCCATAATTGATAGACAGAGATTGACTTTTAAAGCTTCAAATCAGCTTTGAGGTCTGGGTGATCTTTTAAACTGTGCAAGCTTTCATCTGCAGTTTTTCACATTGCCAAGAGCTGTCCATCAAGCAATGGATTTCTGATCAATATCCCCTTGTTCATTAGCTTACACGGGCTCTCTGTTATGGAGAGAACAGATACCCCAATGCCGACAGTCACACTGTTTTCAAAACCTTCCCTGGATCAAGTGATGACTAATGTTCCAAGTGGGAAAGTGATGCATTAGGATGCCATTGGGTGACCTGAATTGCGAGGTAACTTTGTTGGACTGCAGTTGTCAAGATGAGTGATGTGCAGAGTTAAAGCCTATTGCCAACACACATCAAGAGTGCCAGAAAGTACCCAGCATTTATTCAAGCTCTCTGAACCTCTGGAGACTGACTGAAATCTGGCCTAATTTAAGCAGGATGAGTTTTCCTACCACCCCCCTAAATACTTTTTGTCCCCAGCTCTGAGATTATTGCAGTGTTATTTTTATGAGGCTGAAATCCTGACTGTATTTTAAGTAATGAGATATTCCCCATTTACTTCTGCAGAGATGAGACCTCACAGTATTTCTTCCCCTCCAAGCAGGCTGTGGCTGGGAGTAGCTGCAGCTTCAGAAAGAAGGGAGACCAGCTAACAACAAAGCCAGAAAGCCTTTCAAATAGTTTTGTGGCTGTTACTTAAAAGCAGTTTTGCAGCACTTTTTTCCTCAGAGGAATGGATGCAGGGTGAAGGGAATCATGATGGCTGAAAGAGTGGAGACTTTAAGGGGGAAGGGGAGTAGGAGATTGTAGGAACAGTGGAGGGACAGATGTAAGGACCATTCACCATAAGACAGGAAATTAATTAAGAAATTGTGAAAGGGATAAGCTGCCATCAAAAGGCAGATCAAACAGTTTGTACAAGGCTGTGTAAACAGGTGTGTAAACACTGAATCAAGTGCATGACTATGGCCAAATATTTGCAGAACCCAAATACTCAGCTCAGACACAAAAATGATTTGGAAATTTGTTTTCTACGCATATGTTGTTAGAACAGCAACATTGATATGGGCACTGCTATATGAGTGACAAGATTTCTGGTTTGGCCTGAAAGCCCAAATACCACTGGAACGAGCAGGAATGCAGATGAATAATGAGTGCATACTAAAATCCACTTTACTTTTTGCAGGAAAATGAGCAAAATTATTGTAATATTTCAATAGATATGAATTATAAACTCATGTCTAAGTGCCATTGAAATCAAGAAAAGAAAGAGCAGGACTTACCTGCAAAAATACAAACTTATCAATAAAATCATAATCTTCTACATGGGCCACGTAGGCTATGAAAGGATACACAAATCCTCACACATCCTACAGATCCTCACACAATATTCATCACAGCTTTTCCCTTATCAACATCTTAATGCCACACAGCCTTAAATGATTTTTTACTTGCATGGACTTGTTTGTGAATCTTCTAGCACTTGGGACAGAGCCTTGCAGAAATAAGTTCCACAGGTAGCTGCATGCTGCAAGGGGAAGTCAGCCTTCATTTATTTGACCTCTAGTTTTCATCCCCAGCTAGGCTCTTTGATTATCCTTCTGTGAGGTTTGCAGCCATGACCCGTCCTCCAGACCATGGCCCACTGTGTGAGTGGCAGAAAAGTCCTGGTTTGGGACAGAACTGAGAGTTCCAGGTGTGGTCCAGGAGAACTCTGTGATCAGCTGCACGTTGGTGCTGCTGTACCTCTGTTTTTGTTTCCAGTGTGTCAGACACACTCCTGGCTGGGACATGATGCAGCATTGTCTCCTGCACTGACACAGAACATGTGGAGGTTGGAAAGCACTTACTGCATTACCTGTCCAAAGTCAAACAGACTTTCTACTTGGTCATAGGACATATTTTAAACTCAGCAAAGCTCTCCATGAAGTTAATAGAATTCAGCACTGGGTACTAGTGAAGGGTCTTAATGAACCAGATTGCCAGCCTTTCAGTTTTGTGGCAGGCAGAAGTTGAAATGAAGAAACTGAAACCACTTACCATCCATCCAGCTGGCCCAGAAAGAAGAATGGGAAGCCTGCATGAGATAATGAAGGTCAGAGAGTCATTTTATGGAAAAAACCAAAGCCAGCACAGACCTTTGCTTACAGTACAAAGATTCTGTTTACCCCTAGTGCTAGACATCCAGATAAGGCTATTACCCACTTTGGAGCTAACTGACCTAGATTTTAAGAGCTCTTTGAAGAGAGAAACAGAAAGTCAACAACCCATGGTAGAGGTCTGGCTCTTCCAAGCTGAGCTGGTCTGATTTGGAGGAAGCCAGACCTGAATGAGTTAAGTTGTTTCTTTGCTTATGAGGTGATGGCACACTGGCTATTTGTCCAATTTCTCTGAGATGCTGGCAGAGGCCATGCTCCAGTTGGCTGCCAAAGCTGGGGGCTGGGAGGTGCCCAGGCACAGCAGAGTTGGGATGTTGGGCTGTGCAGCATGGCCCAGGACCTTACACCTGGTGCACCCAGTGGGACCTGGACCCCTGAGCTAGAAGGCTGTCAACAATCTTTGTATGTAGGAAAATATTTCTGGCACTCTCCAGGAGGAAATGCCATGTGTCCCACCTCCAACGTGGGGCTCCAGCCTTTCCTGTTTGGCTCATGATCAAGGGCAAGCAACAAAAGGGAACAGAAGAAGAAGGAAAACAGCTCTTAGCCTTTGAAGAATGTGAGTGAGGTTTGTCTGAAAGGAAAGGCATTGACTCTACACCAGGACGCATCCCCAGTGTGACAATTTCCGTTTGCTTTCCCTCTTGCTTTAAATCCCAGCTGAGGACAGGATTACCCACCTGCAGTGAGGATACACATGCTAACAGTGGGTGTAAAAGAGATTTGAAGTTGCTATTCTTCATCCCTCACATCATTTTAGGGAAAAAATGTATTTCCAAACAATTTAACACCCATAGTAAGGACAGCATACATACACACGCAGTTGTTGTGTGTACCTATGCATTACTACAGATACAATTGACTATAAATATATGCCCTGTTTAGTCACACATTATATATAGAAGAAAGACATTCTCAGATAACACTGGTTGAGACTAAGAACAAATGAATCAGAAGCAATGAATAAGAAACAGAACAGAATAAAAAGCTCAAAATTCACGTTTGTGAATATTATCTGGAATATATAAACGAGCTTTTGCTTCAGGCACGTTTGCGTCCCTCTTGTGTTTGAGCCAGGGAGAACAGACACTCCAGTTCTCCCCTTCCCCACTGACTTTAATGAGAGCAATGTCCCCTGAACCACTCAGCAGAGCCCCTTCCCAGGTGCATTTGAGTGAGCCACACACATACAGAACTAAATCCTTTGCAGCTGGAAGGACACACATCCTCACACAATTGCCCCTCCTGAATGCGTGCGGAGATGATGGTAAATGAGAAGGCTGTAAAAGCTCTGTCCTTGGTGTATATGTTTCTTGAGTGCAGGTACAGCATTCGTCAGATCCTTTGCCAGACCCCAATAGAGACTATATAAAGCAAAGGTCTAATTGCTCCATTTACAATTAGTGATAGTGTTCATCCATAAACACAGACCAAAACAAACCCTGCAAGTGTACTCCTTTCTTTTGGAGGAACAGATGAAACAAAGAACAAGGAAGCAGCACTGGGAGCAGGATGATGCAAGAAACATTTAATCCTGCTTTCCAGCTCTCTGTGCTGCCCTGCTGTGGCTTTTGCCTTATGGGCTTGGAAAGGGTTTGGGTCTGAAAGATTTAACTTAGTGGGTTTGCCCCTGCACTCAGGCCAGCCCTTGGCACCCCAGGGAATGCTGGAGGGTTTCAGCCCAGGCTGAGTGAGGTGCACCAGGCTGTTCTGTGCCTCAGTTTCCCAGCTGTAGGGTGGAGATGAGAGTCTCACAATGCTCATACCCCAAAGAAATAAGAAAATGAGAAATGCAGCACTGTGCTACACTACTTTCTTTCCCAGGTTATCCAGCTGCCTCTCTGTCCAAACACAGGCAGAGCTGACCACAGAAAGGCAGCTAAAAACTAAACTCCCTCTTGCAATAAAGTGGTGCCCTCAACAATGTGCAGGTTTACAGTATCATCCTTCAGAGCAGGCAATGGCTTTGTAGCTGGTGACAGTCCCAGATTTTGATTCCTGCTTCTGGATGAAAGCCTCTGTCTGCTGCCACTGTATAAATATTACTGGGAACAAAGGCTTCGGGAGCACCAAGCATAGGGAGTCCAGGAGTTAAACACAATCTGTACTGTAAGGCTCCTGTATCTCCTTTTGTGCTGCAGCTCTCCCTCCTCGTGTGCATGTCACAAGCTGCAGCAGCAGAGCCACAGGGGACAAAACCTCTGGCAGAGCTGACTTCTCAGCATGGAGAGTTTCCTCCTCTGTCCTGAGGTCCTCTGGACCACTCACCAGACCACACTGGTTTTGAAGCATTTTCACAGCTGCTAGCCAGCAGAGGGCCAAATTTTAGCTTTTTGACTCCTGGCCTGAAGCTTGCCATGGTGGTGTGCAGCAGAGGAGAAGGAAGAGCTCACTCCTTCCCTCCTGTGTGCTGGAGCTCTGCCCTTCATCCCCCACCAGGGATGGATGTGGGATGCAGGGTGTGGGATGCAGGATGCTGGCCATGGATAGAGAAGAAGGCTGTAGGAGGGGTGCACAGGCTGGGGGTCCAGGAGGGGCTGCAGGAGGGAGTGCAGGCAGGGGCAGGGAAGGCAGGGCATCCTGCCTGCAGTGCCGTATTGCTCGTGGCCAGCAGAGGAGGATCTTGTCCTTCCGACGAGGTGCAAAGCTGAGCCCAACGAGGAGCAGGGTTTGAACAAAAGGAAGGGGGGCGGGGGGAGAAGAAACGAGGCTGTGGAGCTGGTTTCACCAAATGCTCTCCTTGCTGCAGCTCGACACCGATACTTTGTGTGCTCTCTCAAGAGGGAATAAAATCACTGGATTCTGTTCATAGCAGTTCTGCAGTGATGAGGGACAGAGCTGGAAGAATTTGCAGAGAGCAATTTTAAATTTTACTACTTCAGGCTCATAAAAAAGAAACCCTACAAAAAAAAAAAAAAGTAATAAAAAAGCCAGGAGGGACATTTTACATGGGTACCAGTGCATTGCTGACTATGGAGCCAACTACATTTATAGCGCTCCCAGAAAAAATTGTGAAATTCAAAATGTCCTAATTTCACCTGATCTCTGTTGTCTTTTGTCAGTGTAATGATTAGCAGTTCACTAAAACTTAATTCCTCCAAAGAATCTTCAAAATTCTGCTAAATAGATTTCGTACTAATATTAAACATAGCAAATACATGATACACTCAATTTTTCCATTTCAACTCCTTAAGAAAGAGGGACTAATGAAATATAATAGATTTCAAACAAGAATGACAGAACCATGAGCTTTCTTTATCTCAGGATGGAATTCTATGGCTCTTTCTCAGACAAAAATGTCCAGTTAAACCCTAGCAATTCTTTCTGAATAAACTCAGGAAAATTTGACCCCAAATTCAAGGGAAATTATTTACAGCTGCCAAGGGCATTCTGCAATTGAACTGTTTATTGTGTCTTGGGTACATTACTATCTCTTATTACAATAAAAATCAATCACTAAAACACAAAAGCAGGTGGAAAAGGAGAGCAGAAAGGTGACAGCCCAGGGTTATGCTGTGAATTTACATGTGTGCAAAACTGACTTCCAGAGAAAGCAGTAATTATTCAAGCTGGTATGACAGAGTAGCAAGAGAGATGAAAATTAGGTTTATACACACACACACTGCAACAAAGCACTACAGGAATTCCAGTGTTAAACTGCATTGGTAGGAATTGGCTTATTCACTCAATTTCATTAAGTCCTGCAAATTCTCCTGCAACTTGTCACAAAGTGGCCTCTGTGGCAGAAAAACAAAGATTGTGCTTTCATTTGTTCATCTGTGCAGTCACAGCTTTGCAGCCAAGAAGGAGGTGGGATGGGGTTGAACTGGAGAATGAAGATGGATATTTGATCAACTCCCATCCACAAGTGACACAAGCCATGAAGGAGCCACGAGGGCAGACACAGCTACTGCCTTCTCGTAGTGAACCCCTTGATCCTGCTGACAGCTCTCAGTAGGAACCTTTGTCTGGGCTGCTTGCCAAAGGAGGAGGGAATCGACAGTTCTGATGCTCTTACAATGGGCCAGATTTTTGCCTGCAACCATCTTGGGTAGTGACAGTCTTTGAACTTCAAGGGAAAGTGGCTTTTCCAGCAATGACATTGTGTTTCTCAGCCAAGGCCATGGTTGCAGCATAATGAAAGCAGGGCATATTATCATCTGGAGCACACATGCAACACATGTTGTGTTTTTAGCCTGGGAAACCATTCCTTGAAAGGATTCCACCAAAACCTTTGAGTTCTTCACTTCTCTGCTAACAAGACATCTCCTGCCTCCACACTGAACTGCAATATGTGCATCAGAGTAAATGGGCTCCTTATCAACCAGTCCCAGAGTACTCAGAGAAGTTCACACTTAAAATCTTTATTTTGCTGATTATTTAGTGGTGAACCTTTCCCATGGTAGCTCCTGATACAAAACCCACAGAGATCCAGGAAAAACGCAAGATCCTTCAGAGGCGCTGCTGAAACCAGCTTGGTCCTCTGCTCAGGAGTTACCTGCTCCTCTTTTCCAAGAAATCAAAGTTACCAAATTAATCTTTGCTCTGTAAGAGGTGTCCGGGTGGCGGTTGGTTTTTTTTAAGGTTCTTTGTTGTTTGAGTTGCCCCGAGTGAAAAATGGGGTCAGCCTTGGATGCCACAGCACAGGGAAGCTACAAAACGTGTTTCAGGGGTCTGCAGTCGCCAGCTAGTCACACCAACACGAGTGTCTGTGCTATCAAACGCTCCTGCAGCCACAACTGGGAATGCAGGTTATACTGCTAGACTTAAAGCTTATGCAAAGTCATTAAGTCCCTTTAGTTACACGGGATATCAACCTGCACGCTGCAGGGCATAAGCTGATTGCCTTCGGGGGTCAGCGAGGAACGCTTCCCTCTCTGAGAGCACGGTGCAAAATTAGCTGGGGGCGCTCCCAGGGCTTTGTTGCTTTCCTGCTGCATCAGGCAAATTTAGGCGAGCACTGCAGAAGGGTTTTACACTCGATGGGCCACAAATCCAGGCAGGCTTGGCAGCATTCACTTCTCTTCAGAGCGATGGGTGAGCAAAGAGCGGAGTGTGAAGCCCTCGTGTGCGTGGTGCAGCTCAGCAGTGAGGGTGAGGGAGGCAGAACTGGGAGTGTCCAACAGGACTGGATCCATTGGGGGTTAGAAAAATATGTCAGACAGGGTTGGCTTTGGAACACCCTAGAATGTTGGTCTCCAAGCACCTGAGGCAGGGGAAGACCTGCACTGCTGGCAATAATACCCTGCTTGCTGTGAGCCAAGAGGGAGATTGGCCCTTATGATAAGGGTTTCTTTTTTTGCATTTGTTTGATCTTGATGTGACACTTTTATCCTTCCCTTTCCACTGCTAAGTGCATTTTGTTATTGGATTGGGCAGGGCTCGTGATTTCAAAACACTTTCCATCACAACTAAGCAGACATCAATTTTCTGAAGATTCAAAATATTCAGTGAAGAGCCACTTCTGCTGCTCTTACCCTTGCAAGCCTTCCTCCCTGCTGCCAGGGATGTTGAGTTTGCAGGGATATCTGATACAAGGAAAAGGCCTGATCTGAACGCTTGTAGATTTAAAAATAACCTTTTTCCTGAGAACTTTAGAGCACTGTTAAGTGGGAGCTGCAGCCTGGTGTACAGGAGTGGCTGTCACTGGAGTGTTGTGGGATGCAACTTTCTATTGTCCTGTTCCAGATTTCTCTAGCTCAACTCAGCACAACATTTAAACATATCATTTAAATCTGAGTGCATTCCAGTGCTTCAATGCAAGTCTGGATAACTAAGGATACACAGCTCAGTTGCAGCAGAGTTCTTCGGATTTTTCTTTGACTAATTAAGGAATGCTTAATACAATACCTTGATTCCAGGCACATTTCTACTACAATATCTTGCTGAGCAGAAGTGAAATGAAAAGCAGGGGGAAAAATCCCAACCCAAGCAGACCTGCCATGTCTGAAGACAATCTTTGGTACAGTTGCATCATATATGCTAAAGTAATGGACCAAATTCAGTGCTCACCATACAGCTTTATGCCTTTTATAGAAACAGCTTGGATTCACGCAGATGGAATCAGTTTCTTTTCAGGTAGTGTGAAAGAACTGAATGAAAACTTTTGTCTTAGGGTTCTGCTCCAAACCTGCCAGATCCATGAATGTCCAAGTATTTTCTTGTTCTGTTGTGACTGACTCAACATGAACTACTGCTTAAACCCATGTTTGACTTCTGCTACATTTCATTAATAATATTTGTTAATCAGCTAATTACTTACAAAAACTTCTAAAACTAGATTCAAATAAAAATGATGAAGGTAGTTAGTTCTAGAAAAGGATGAAAATAGGAATTCAAGGGTATTTTCCGTGGTTTCAGCAAAGTGCAGCATCTATTATTTTTTCATTCAAACTATTTCAGTGCAACTTTTTCTTCAGGACAAATCATTAAGACAAAAATATCCTCTCATAACTTGTTTGTCATGCCATGGTCACATCATGGCAACTCATTCACCTCTTTTTCTTTTTTTTTTCTGGGATCCATGCCAAGTGCTAAGCCAGAAAGCCTTGTTATATTAATTATGAAGAAAAAGCATGTTTTATTAAAAACTAGCCTGCTGAATATTCTGTCGTGCTGCTTTTCAGTGACAGCAGAATTGCTTTTGCATTTTAGCAATGTTAATGAATTTTCAGGGGCGGGGGGGGAGATATGCTCTACATTTTCCATAGCATTTTTTACAGCAAAGTCAGATTAGGACTGTCAAAGCGTTGATTCTATCTAACACTTAGGACTAGTTAGAAAAAACATGGGCAAGACTTCATGTTGTCTAAGACTGGCCCCACATCTTCCTAGCTGAGCATGAATTAACACTGCCAAATTCATGATAAGCTTATTTGTATTAGATAATGTCCCCACAAAGTCTGTCAAACTGACATCTAAGTACCCTAGAGCTGATCCTCTCAGTAAAATGTTACATGTATTACTGGACCAAGTGTGGTATGGGTCCTGGTGATACACTAATTAATAACTAGTCTATAGAGTTGTGAAAATCACTGATCTCAAATTCCAGATTTCTTTAAAAAAATCTAAGCCCCATTAAACCCCCTCACTAGATATTTTTCCCAAAGCATTTAATTTAAACACAACAACATCTGAATTTTTGCAGTGCATTTCAGTAAATATGAACCTGCACACATAGGAAAAGCAGATGTTTAAAAGAACCTCAGTTTCCTTCATAAGAAAATTTACTTGATTGCTTGGAAGAACAAAAGAAGTTTTTTAAGACTGACTTTTAACTTTCCTTTGATTACAAGTCATTCTTCCACTCTTCTTTAAAGAGCAGATGAATAGATGTAGGAAAGTATATCAAGCTCTGCCAGAGCAGAGCTCTGGTCACCTCTAGATGTGTTGAATATTTTGCCATTAACCTTCCTCCCACATTAGCAACAACAATAATTCAGTCAATCAAAACACATGGCTGGGGGAATTTTTACCTTTTACAGAAGATGTTTCAAAACTGCCAAGGCAGGGCCGACCTGACCTGTTTAATTCAATATTTAGTCCCTTCAGAATGAAGACTGGAAACAAGGAGAAACTTTTTACGGTGAGGGTGGTGAGGCATTGGCACGAGTTGTCCAGGGAGATGGTGGATGCCCCATCCATGGAAATACTCAAGGCCAGGCTGGAGGGAGCTCTGAGAAACCTGCTCCAGTGGAATATATCCCTGACCATGGCAAGAGGGTTGGAACAAGATGATTTTTAAGGTGCCTTACAACCCAAAACATTTTATGATTTTAAGATGAGTTGCCCATGCTGCAGCCCAGGGTTTTGGGGCATTTCTTAGTGCCCAGGGCTGGGAGAGGGACCATGCTCCCCACCACAGACCACCAGGAGTGATGTGGCCACTCAGTGTACCCAGAAGAGCCATTCCTTGACACTGTAGATGTCTGCTTAAAAAAAAACCCATGGGGCTTCCCTCTTATGTTGCATTAACTTGGTCACCCCAGTGGCCTGAAATGCAGATACAGCAGAGCTGGCACATGGAAATAAAAGAAGAATGAAAAAATACTCACGCCCAAACATGTGGTCCCTAGGACAATAACCAGTGGAAGAACCTGAAGCATCAAAGCACTGTTAGCCATCCTTGTTTTTTTCTTGAAATTAGCTTTTTCTCCTTGCCTATGTTTTTTCAGACAAGCCACAGTCTTTTGAGGCCAAGCTAATTCAGTGCAAATAATTAACCGTGCTTTAAATATTGTTTAATGTTCAACAGATTGCCCTGATCAAATAAACGCATCCTGTCCAGATAATCATTGCATTGACCAGTGGCAAATGTTCCAAATCAGTAAGTAACAAGGATGGGAACAGTGTAAATTAACAATGAAAACAAGCATTTACCTTGTATTAGAATTATCCTTCAACTATTATTTTAAATTGGAAAAATGTATGAATCATACTTCTCTCCCACCTGAAAAACCATGAGATCTTGTTACATAATATATGATTTTTAAAAGTATCAAAGTGTGTTATTTGATTATTTTCTAAATTTCAGACATGAATCACAGTTTATGTTCTCAAGCTTTTGTCCACTAATGTGAGAACCAGGATTTATTACTTTTTTAAAAAAAGATCTAAATTCTTGAATAACTTCAATTCTCCTGGGGATGAAGCATTTGTAGCAACAGTAGCAACTCAGGAAATCAGAGTATTGCTGCAAGAATAAACAACCCTCTGTTGCGGAAATGCTGACAAACTTGGATATTGTTTGTGCTGCATGTTGCAAAAACAAATGAAGTGACCATTCTTTCTCTGAGATAGTTTAGAACCTGAAAAGGAAGAAGGTGATAGAAATAGTGTCCACATATTGAAACATGAGGAAGAAAACAGTGAAATCCCAAGGGCTTCAAAATTTCCCATCCTGAATGTGATTTTGTGCTGAAAAAGGTGGTTGTGAGCTCTTGATTACAGTGACAGGTGTTGAAATTTGGATGCCAGGGAACCTTATTTCTGGTAATTCCTTTCCCTGGAACGTGAGCATTCCTAAAGGAGATTTCATACACGAAAAATTACATGAAGAATTTTGGTATTCTGACTATGCCACATGTGCACACCTTGAGCAGGTGCCTACAAGCAATATGTGTTGGAGACAGTATGTTGGTGGCCAGCCACAAATACAAGTTTATGAAATTCCAGATTCTTTAACTAGTTAGAAAGACAGCAAGATAAAAGGAGTTAGATAACACACGACTTTATGTAATGTGTCCTTGAGTAAGCTGATTTGCACTGAATTTTAATAGAGCCCTGATTCATCAAATCTCAAACAGAATTAAGGTATGGACTGGATCCTAATAACATCATGCTTTATATCCATGAAAGATAAATTAAAGGATGCAAAACTGCTATTGACAAACATTGATTATATGTACTTTGATGGACTTTGAAGTTGTGCCAGATGCGTCTTATCAGCCTCCGAAGTTTTCTTTTAAATCTCATTGCATAAGGCTTTTACTTTTTAATTATTTTTTCCCTCAGCCTCTTTGATCAAGAAAAAATGTAGATCATATTTGTGTGATGCTATTTCCTGTGCATTTTATTTAGATATGCCCTTGTGTACAGCTCATGATATGTAAAAATATGTTACATGGCACCTAAGTGATCTTACCCTGCTATCCTGGGTGCTATTTAATACTTAATTGACCTTCTCAAGCTGCTGAGTGAAATCCTGCCATGTGCAGAGAGCTACCACAATGCTCATGGTCCTTTTATGCCACAGAAATCTACATAATAAGATGCAAGACACAAGGTTGCTGGTCTCTCTTTGCTTCCAGGAGGATTTTGACCAGTGAGAATGTCCAGTGGATGTGATTTTATTCTGTCCCCTGATGGTGGCAAAGTGATCCTCATGTCAGACCCAATGGGAAGGCAAACCTCCCTGAAACTTCTGGCTTTAGGAGATGTTTAGATGAAGATTAGACAAGAAATTTAAGCAAGTGAAAATCCTCCTTTCACTTTCCTATATACAGAAATATTTTGTCAGCAGGGAGCAGCATCAAGAAACTGAAAAGAGGCTTTGGAACCATTCTGATATTTCAAAGTTGTGAGCCCACATGCACATCTTTCTTTCCTAATCCATCAGGACATAGCCACCCCCTTTTGGGTATGGGAATGCATAAAGTATATTGCTTGGCATGGCAAAAGTCTTCAAGGGTGGTGCAGGACTTAGGTACAGGTGGGTTTTTTTGGGAAAACATATCCAAGCCCATCCATGGCTTGCACATCGTACATGAAGAATTTCTCTGTGACAATTTCCAACAATAAATATGGAGAAAAAAAAAAAAACCCATAAAAGTCTTTTAAAATCCTTGACAATAAATAGATGAAAACAAAAATTTGAAGTACTAGATCAGGACTGTGGTGGCCTGGGAGTTTCTTGCATCACTGTTAATGCTGCCTTGAACAAATAATTTCTCTAAATACTCCATTCTCATCACAAGATTGTGGCTAGTAACTTCTCTACTTTCAACATGTCCTGTCTGTTTAGAAAATAAATCCTTCTGCCTCACTATTTTTTCTTGTATTAATGAGCAGCTCCAGGCAAAAGACATGCCCCGTCCTAGCTGTGATGTCTACTACAAAGGAAGGAAAAAATAACCTGAAAGACTGTAGTCTCAAATGATTTATTTGGAATTACTACTGAATATTATTCTCTATAATGCTTGAGCAGCTTTGGTTGCCAGAATAAACAGCAGAAACATTACTTGGTCATTTTTTCCCCCCTAAAATGGGAATTTCCACTGAAAAAATATTACTCTTGGATGTTTTTTCTGCCACTGTACAGATCACTTGAATTCTGATCCTGGAAAGCATTTCAAATCCTTCCTGCCTGATAACTTTTCTCCATCTTCCAACACAAATGAATATTCTGTGCTGGATCTACCTCTATGAGTCTATGTGTCTATTATTATGCTGTTAGACACACTAACTGCAGATCTAGTTGTTAACACCAGAATAAACAAATCACCACAGCTGTGAGGGAAGAGAGAAAATCCCAAAGACAAAAGCAAGATAAAAACATCTACTATGTGAATCTAACAAAAGCAAAAGTTCTAGAAATGCTTGTTGGCATCAGCCCATGGGAGCACAAGCCAGGCCCTTCAAGGGTATGAACATTTTTTCAGATTTTACAGCAATGCCATGGAATATGCATGGATGCTTTGACTTTGGTCTTTTGCACTGCTACCATTTTGTGGCTTTCTTTAATTAACTTAATAACTCAAAAGCCCTACACATGTCCGTGCTTCCTCTTTAGTGTTCCCTCCACTTCCATTAAGTATCCTTTTCAAACTGCAAATGAATATGAGAAAGCAGAAGCCCTATTACTCCTCTTTATACAGAAGGACTGGAGTTGAGAGAGAGTATAGGGAATTGACTTTTAATATAAAATCTGGAAAGTGGAGGAGAGGTATTCTCTATGAGAAATTCATCTTGGTGCAGAAAGCCAGCATGATGTCTAGACATCCCTTAAATCAACATTTAAAGTGTTGTGGTTGCATTTTGCTTCATAATTCTCTCTAGCAGCACATTCCCAGGGATGGTTTCAATTCTTGTGCTCAGATCAAAAGCACAACTAAAAATTTCAAGACAATCAAACAAACAAAAAACAGAATGAGTACAGGCAGCAGGAAGTTCTGTTGGATGTGCAAGAGGGCTCTTCCCTCATCCATCCTGCTGTAACCCAGAGGTCACTCATCAAAGGCTTAATGCAAGCTCAAAGCTGGTGCAAAAAGCTGAGCTGGCTGGAGAGAGAGGCAACCCCACCCCAGGGATGCACACCAGGACCAGCAGCCTCTCTGACACTGATTTGGTACCAAACTCTTCCTCTGAAGGTGCATAAACACCACCTTGAAGAGCAACCTGCCAAGGTGGAACTTCGTCCATGTGCTCAGTCAAAGATTGACAAACACCTGGCTAAAAGATTTTCAGTCCTCTTCTGGCCTCCTGGGTGTTCTTTTAAATCTCTCCTAGAACAGCTCCAGATATTCTTGTTAGCTGTGCTGCTTTCTGAGCCTGCTTCTGTGTCTTGGAGCTGCCTGCTAAAAGCATTAAAATTGTAAAGTGGTGGATGAAGGAAGACAGTTTTGCTTTCAAGCTGAAAAACATGCATCAAAGCCCCTGTAGTAAATTTACAGAGTATTAAAAACAAACAAAATCTGACCGTAGGGTAACATCATTTTAGGAAAGATGCTGTGGCCTACCTCAAAGTCTGCATTTAATGTGCACAGCGCTCACTTAACCTGCCTAGGCTACAAATCCCAAGGGACAAATTCTGTCCAACCATCCTAAAACAGAGATATTTTTAGACTGCAAAGGTAGAGCTAATATGGTCTCTCTGCTCCAGTTACCAAACACCTCCTCCACAGGCCCCATTGATTGTTCTCCAGACAAAGAGGAGAGCATGAACATAAATTTGAGAGAACTCATACGAGCAAAAATGTAATAAAATATGACCCCCATGCTATTTTCATGCATTTAGAGGCAATCACAAATTAGGAAACACCTGAATTTTAAAAAACTCCAAGTCGTGCCTCCGCCTTACATCATTAAATATTACTGAAATTTTTAAAATTATATTTTCTTTCTATTTGTGGTAGTGTTGAGAAGTCACACATTATTCATCAAGTCACCATTTGTTTTCAGGAAAGGATTCCAACAGGTGATCAGTAATGCACATACTAAATATCTGTGAATTCTTTGGGAGACTAATTTAATATGCTGTTCAATTAATTGTCTGAATGACTGAAATAACAGAGATGAGTAACTTCAGGTGCAAAGATGCACAAGTGTCATAAGCACAGGTATGCAGTTCTGACAGAGCCAAAGAATTTTCAGTAAGAACTATACAAATATTTAATTCTCCTAAAATGTTTAGATTTCCTTGTGCAGCACACCAAATAAGTATATAAAGCAGATTTTAAATTTTCATATATTGTCTAATGGTCATTAGTGCACATGGACAGAATTATTCATCTGAATGGCCAGCTGAAAAGTTGCACATGGTGGTAGACCCTGTCTAAGCTTCTTGTTCTCCCTGTGGAGGTGGTGACATGAGCAGCCTTACATCATGTTAATCTTGGTTTCATGTTCAACTTGGCTGGCCTGGTGTGATAAGCAGGGCCAATTTAGTTGAGCATAAAGATGTTGATT